TGCCGGAAAATAAGTTGGGGGAAATTTCATGTTGGTGTGACTTTTCACTGTTTGAATTCACCCATAGTGCAACTCGGGCTTGTCATGCAACATGCAACATGCAACATGCAACATGCAACATGCAACATGCAACAATAATTGTATATGGAAATTAATAACAACCTACCTCAGATTGGATTCCAAGAAGACTTAAAAAATCGATCTTTATGCTCGAAAGTTTCGCACAAACAGCTCCAAAAGACTGACTATCAAACGAATATCCAACAGCAAATGTAGGTGAATTATACAACATTGATCCAAGGGCTTCCACATGAACAGGAACTCCACCTACACTAATGGACGCAGTAAAACGGTACGTACCACCTTTGGCTATCTTGAAAGCAAATTCTACTGGAGCCATGGTAAATTCCCAGAGGCCGACTTTCCTGCGACCAAATGATAAAAAAGTATATATATCTATATCATACTATATGTATGTATGTAACATCCACTAAAATTGACCGATCTTACATTTCTGGTACTGTATGCTCAAATAGTCCTAGAGAATACTCACCTCAAGCTGTTTTTGAAAAACCCGGGAACAGAACTGGACGATATCCCAAAAAAATCCATGAGTTGATGGAATTTTAACGAGGGACTTTTACCGATGGCATAGGCGTCGCCTGAATAAACTTCTGTCTTGACCTCTGTTTTAAAAGTGACCTGTGGAATTTCCTTGTAGTTGCCCTTGGCTTTAAAGGTCATTGCATTTCCCTCGGTGTAATAAGAAACCCTTATGAAAGAAAGAATAAACGATCTTACAAATTGAATCAGTGCACGACGCACGACGCACGACGCACGAAATTAATTTTTTTTGAAAAAATCAAAATATCAAAGATTTAAATGTACTAATTTTTTACCTGACATCTCTCAGTATGAATCCATTCCTAGGCACATATTCATCTGCTGTACCAATCTGGAACTCGTATTTTTTCAGCTTTCTTTCGTGCTTGGAAGCAGCTTCGTCCAAAGCGACGGTCAATCCCGTGACATACTCATACATACCGGGCCTAGTCATTTTAGGCAGTGGGTCGGTTTTAGTGTAATATGTTGCTATGTTGTTGACCATATGTAGTATGTGAACTGGATCGTTAATTTCTATGCAAACCTAAAGAAACATACAAAGACATATTGAATTTTTGAAATTGCTACATGTGGCTAAAAGCTAAAACGTCTTCAGCGTCTATCATTTCATTGAATGAAACATATATAATTGCAAACAAGTGAAATTGTACTTGGAGCTGGGAAATGAATTTTGAAATGGAACTAGATATGATAAAATGTCAGACCACATGTCGTTCCCTAAAGTTTCATTTAGATGCAATAGACCTAATCGGCTAACGTGTTGCTATGTACGTTACCACCCAATTCAAACCTTCTGGGAATAGAAGCGTTTGCCTCTACGAATTCAACTGTGAAACCAAAATATAACGAACAATGAAACTTAGTCCCATGTGGTTTGAATTGGGTGGAAACGTTTATAGCAACACGTTAGCCGATTAGGTCTATTAAACTCAACCAAAGAATCTTCTCAAGAGCATGACATTTGGTTTTAAATGGGAAAACATTGCGCCCAAGAGGTCRATGGACCAAATCCACTTGGGAATAAAGCTTTTCCATCTTTTCTATACCCATGTTTCATTTCATGCACAACCGTTATACAAAGAAATGATAGTCAGTACCTTCGTGTACTTCTTCTTTGGATTTATCTTATCATCTTCTATCTTGACCCCAAACCATGCATTCTGCAATTCTGCACTTATAAAGCTAAAAAAGCTCGACACTAGAGCCGTTGGGATTCTTGCAGCAGGGGCAGCTTTGGCAGTAAACTTCTCGTCTGTATCACATTCCAACCTGATATACGAATTTGAGTCAGTTTCTAACTTAACATAGTGTTTTGTTGTGTACGCTGAAAAATTCGATTAATATTGATTAATATTTAATCAAACAATTATTGGCTAAGGCTCCTTTGGCCGTAAACTTCTTGTCAGTATCACATTCAAGCTTGACATATGAATCGGGGTCAGTTTTTATCTTATCAGGATGTCGTTTCGTTTACAAATTGTTGGAAATTAGAAGGGAAAAAGGAGATTTTCAAACTAAATCCAAATCTTAAAGGTGCTGACTCACGGTGCAACATTGCACGCAACATTGCAAGCAACAAATTTGAATCGGGGTGACACACATTGCAGCAAAATCACGCAACATATCGCTTGTGACAGCCTGCTATGTTAAGATATTTGGTCAGAAGTTATAAATTTGGTGCAAGCTGATTGGCTGACAATTTCAAAATGTTGCAGGTAATGTTGCAGCCATGTTAACATGATGAAATTTGTTGCGCGCAATGTTGTAAGAGTAGAGCTCGATTCAACTTAAGATTTGTTGCAYGCAACGTTGCGTGCAACAAGTTTGTGGTAGACACACGCTGCAACATCCCTGCTGCGTGCAATGTTACACCGCGTGTAATTAAGATTTTTTTAGGAAAATTTCTTCATTCGTTGCTTCTTACATTCGATTAAAATCCAAAACATTGAGCTGTGCTTTCCTGAGAACAACTGTACTAACAAGAGCTTTATTTTACTCCAGTAATTAGTTTTTGTTCTCGATATATATTGCTGGGTTTTATGTTTATAAACTAATTAACGTTGTAATCAAATTTTACCCAAAATTGTTAATCGGGGCCCCTTAAACCAGAGAACTAATTGAAATCTAGAATGAGACCGATGTCATCTTTATAGTAGTCGAGCCAATTAGAAACCTAGACTGCACGAGAATGGTAATTTGATCCTGATGTTTGGTATAAACAACTAGATAGCCATCATTTTTTTTTTCTTTGTGAGATTAAAAAAAACCATGGCAGCGTTGTTTTCTGCTGGTTTCTTATTGGCTCCACTAATCAAGATTGGGATGTATTGTTTTCATTCTACGATTTGATTGGTTCTCGCTGTCTAGTGGCCTGGTTGCATAATAATCGTTCTGTAACAAGTTACACCAGTTATTCTATACAAAATTAATGTATGCAATCAAACTAGTTATATATATATATATATAATTACCAGTGCATCCTTCCTTAGGTGTAGGGCAGTTTCTCTTCTCGACACCAACTCCACCGCAGTCGTCACCACCGTTCTTAGGAGGAGGGTTGTTGCAGGATCTGCTTCGAGAGGAGTTTCCCCTGAGACAGAATTTTCCCTCTGAACACTGTGACCATGATGTCCATGCTGACCARCCTCCATCAACGGCACCTAAAAAATCGTCATGACAAAGATTGAGCACTGTTGACACAGCCATTTTTGTCCGGCTTCCCTAAATACCGGAGACTGGACCACCATTTTATATGACTATCATCCAAACCATGTTGAAGGTCTAAATCTTTGCAGATATTTTAGAATAGCACCTTCTACTCATATTTGTTTAGATCCCGAGTGGTTATACCCACGAGCTTTCATAAGCCAACAGGATGCCCAACAAATAAGTTGACACATGCTACTGATCATATATACTGTACATCATCAGGTTAGTCTTACCTGGACACACTTGCAGCTTACAGCTTTTCATTTGGCTGTAATCACTCGTACAGTTTCGCCCTCCATGTCGTGGTAGTGGGCTTGTACAGGATCTGCTTCGTCGTTGCATTCCGTTACCACACGTCCTTGAACACCTCGACCAACTGCTCCATAACGTGAAGCCTCCGTCGACTAAAGACAAAACAGCAGAATAAAAGGAGGTTTTTTCCAATGATAGGGTCTTTGAAAGGAAATTAGGTTAGCAGGGATRAGAAATCTGTAGGTCAAAACAGAGACAGACATACAGACATTTTTATTTGAGATTGTGTCGGCAGGCTATTGATGCTGCCCAATAGGACAAAGGATCTCCTTCAAGGTACATTGCATCAATTTCCAACCCCATAAAATCCCGATACCCATCCCACAATCAACCTTTAAGGAAATCATTATTAAAGGCCAGACACTGAGGGTGATCGCTGCCAGGGTTTCTTTACGTCCTCAGTGATTCTTTTACGTCCCTCCGTTGAGGGATGGGGTAGTGTGGAGAGACGGGACGGGTCATCTTTGGTCATCTGAGCCACGTGAAGGTCTAACCATTTGTGGTTGTTATTTTAAAGGCAGCATCTTCTCCTTAATTATTTAAAAACCCTAAGTGTTGGTTCCGCCGGTACTCGAACCACGACCTCCCGCTCAAAAGTCCTATGCACGACAACCAAACGAGTTTCCCGGGCGGTAGTCTCCCTCGCATCCGTTTTTAGTGTCGGTCGTCACGGAGGGAGCGTTGCGTGACGACCGACACTAAAAACGGATGCGAGCGGTTTTTTGCCCATAAAGAAAGAAATAATACTCAAGGAAATATCATCAACAATTTCAGTTAACTATAAAATAATTTGTTATACTTTTTAATTGAAGTTAGTTCCATACCTGGACAAGGTGTGAAACACGATTTAACAGCTTCAGTGGCGTCTCCTTGACATGGTTTCCCGCCATTCATTGCAGGAGGGCGGTTACATTGACGCGTGCGCGTGATGAAAGTACCGCTGGGTATGCCACAACTTTGAGGGCAACTCGACCATTTTGACCATTCACTCCACTGTCCGTCAACAGGTTCCGCTGTACAAAGAAAAATGCAATCCCTATTAGACCATATTAATATTATGAAAAATGAAACATATTTTTAGCACCTACTCACTCACAAATTCGCGCGTACTAGCATTATATATATATACATATATATATATATTTATTTATTTATGCTGATTTTCTTCACAAGGATTGACACACGCGTTCGCGACGGGTATTAACAAACGACTCGTAAACGGACAGGTTATGTAATATATACAATACGAGTGGTCGTGTTATGTACGAAACATAAATTTGAGGCGAAGGCGAGAGTTTTTGTATCGTATACAACATGACGGCCAAGCACTCAGATTGTATATATTACATATAAAAAAAACCTTGTCTTAGAGCGCACATAACAATTTTTGGTTGCACGGCTATAATGACTGCGCTCTATATCACTTACTTGGACATGGCCATATACATTCTAGTTTAGTTTCGACATTCTTCCCGGTGCAAGGTTTCCCGTCGGGGGTAGGCTTGGGATTGTCACATTCTCTTGTTCGGTTGACGTATGAGCCTCCACAGGGATTTTCACACTGCGACCACTGTGACCACTCCGTCCAACCACCGTCAACTACAAACAAAGATTTATATTATTTGCCTTGATGGCGATGGTCGTGTGTATTATATAATGCGTGCTGCGCCCATTTTGCTCATATACACATTTCAATAAATTTGGCAAGGATTATGGGTAGATCGATAGATTTCACGACTTGATAATTTTTGATAGACTTGAGATCTTTTACCAATTTCAGAAGAAAATTTACAAGAAACTAGAATCGTCCTCTCAATGTCTCATATCGTTTGTATCGTTTGTAATGGACAAAACGATGCATAATTGCTAGCCGTTATCCGCTTTTGTTGCAAAAATATTGATTAATACGAGGCATAATATTTATATTTATTATTTATTTTATAAAAAAAATAAAAATGAAATATATCGCTAGATGTATTATACTTACTCATGCAATCTTTTTGTTCAGCGTTATCTCCCACACAGTACGCGCCATCAGTGCTGGGGACTGGGTTCGAACACGTGCGGGTTCTGATTTTTTGGTTTCCTGCGCAAACTCCTGGTGCGCATCCACTCCATCCGGACCACGCTGACCACTTTCCATTTACTG